GTGACCATGTCAGGTGCTTTTTGAAAACTTCAATTGATACAAAACACTGTAGACACCAATGAGATACAGTGTGACAATTTTGTATGTGCATAAGTTGGATCATGAAGTCTGGGTGGTTGACATTTCTAACTCTTTGTGTATCATTTTCTTGCTGGGAAACCTAGGAGCTGCGCTTCTGGTTCTTTATAAGGTGCGTAATAAATTATAAACAACAGCCTGCTGCGCTGTCCAGTTCTCCCCACCTAACTGCATGCTTGTTTGTTTACCTATTTGTGTAGTGTTGGGCACGGAACCGAGGCGCTCAAGGGTCGTATGTCGCAGGCACTCTGCCCCTTGGCCATCTGCCGAGCCCTAACTCTGCTCCGGCCCGGTTACCCATCCTCCCTCCACCCCTGCCCCTCCCCTCCCTCCAGGGACCACGATTCTGTACCCTTTCTATGAATGCAGCTTCTTTCTTTCTTTCTTTCTTTTGAGACAGGGTCTCACTGTGTAGCCCAGGCTGGCCTTGAACTCTCAGCGATCCTCCTTCCTCAGCCTCCAGCTGCTGGGATCACCAGCGTGTGTCACCACACCTGGCTGCTTCAACTTCGTCAGCTTCTCAGATGAGCAAAGCCACACGCAGCAGCCATTTCATCTTTCTGCACCTGTCTGTTTCAGGCGATGCCCCCAGCCTGACCCTGTCGCCCCCAACAAGACTTCGTTATTTTAGGACCAAATATGTGTGCTACACGCGCCTAACCCTCATATCCCTGGACACGCAGGTGGTGAACCATGCCCCCACAACACGACAGACAGAACGCATTCCCAAGCTTGCGCACCCCTCCCCTGAGAGCTCAGAGTTAGCAATGAGAAGCCACTTGCCTAAAGCCACATAGTGCATGGGGACAGACGGGACCAGGACTAACGCTCCCAGCTGAGCCACATCCTCACCCCCACCCTGCGCAGCCGCCGTCCACCCTGGCCCCTGCACCTCTACCTGACCGACCCAGGTCAGGGAATTCTCAAGGCGGCCACCACCCCCTCTCCCTGCATTACTTGATGCAGCTACCTAGAGCCACGTCTGTGCTGGACCCGCCCTGTGCAGTGTCTGTCCCTTCGGGAGCTCCTAGAGACCTTATACAATAAAGCAGGGTGGGGCACACCTGTAAGCCCAGCATTCTGCGAGGCTGAGGCAGGAGGACCCCAAGTTTGAGTGCAGCCCAGGCAATGTAGCAACTGAGTGAGACCTTGTCTTAAAAAAGTGAAGGGCTGGGATGTCACGTTGAGGCCCTGGGTTCAGCCTCCAGGACAGCACAAGAGCAGAAATGGCCCTCTCTTTGAAGAGAGGTGGAGGGGCAGACCAGGGGCAGAAGGGGCCCAGGCCACCCCACATGCCCACTAGTCACCTCCACAGAGCCCGGAAACCTGGGCTCCTCGCCCAGCCGTCCACAGATGTGCAGAGTGACTTGACAGTGGTTTCTCTTACTCCGAAGCAGTGTCTCTAACTGTGGGAAACAGCTTGCACGAAATACAGATGAGGCTCCCGAAATCGGTACGGCCACAGGGCTGCAGAGCGGGGCTGACGCGTGAGCACGGCTGAACAGGGCACTTTGAAGGGCAGGGGCTCAGGCTAGATGAAGCCTATCTCGAGAGAGAGAAAAAAAATGCAGACGAGAGGAGAAAAGAAAAACAACTGTAATCCCACTGTGTAGCCCAGGCTGGCTTTGAACTTGCAGGGATCCTCCTGCCTCAGTGTCCTGATCATACTGGCCAATAGCCTGTTGTACTGATTCATTCATTTTTCCAGGGCTAGGGAGGGATCCCAGGCCTCACACATGCTAGGCCAGCTGCACCCCGAGTCCGCAAACATAAAACTCAGCAACAAACAGTTTGGGAGTCCCCAGGTCTCTTTTTCCAGCTGCCCCTCCCCAGGGGCTGCCAGCTTTGGAAGTGCAGCGCCCCACCCTTGCCCTGGCCCACCCCCACCATCCTGCACAGCAGTGGGGAGGCTCTGTCCCTCCATCCCCCAGGGCCCGAGACACCCTAGCTGTTAGCTCCTTGCTCCTCAGACCGGTCTCTCTACCGCTTCCAGGAGCTCTGTAAGTCTCTGCGCCTGGCCTGGCAGCCTTGCTCCCCCCTCACTTTCCTGAGCCCCACTGGGCTCCTTGGTAACCCCGGGTCAGGCTGAGTCCAGTCTGCACTCTTCCTGTCCCTTCCACAATGCCCAGCTGAAGCCAGCAGGACCCGGCACGCACGAGTCTCCATCCTCACCCTTACCTGCCTGAGGGACCAGGGACACACAGATCCCACCTCCCAGCTCCGGCCGTGCAGCCTTGCCCTGGTCTTAGTGTCCCCAAGCATTGTGTGTTGGAATTCACTGCCTCTGGGAGTTGCTAAGAGGGGGAAACTGAGTCCAGGTAAGGTTTAAGGGAGTTTTGGTGAGATGATTAGGATCAGGCAAGGTCAAGGGTTGAGGCCCTAGGATGGAATTCAGTGGCTTTAGAAGGGAGGAAGAGGGGGGCTGGGCATGGAGGTGTGCACTTGTAGTCCCAGCTACCTGCGAGGCTGAGGCAGGACAAATCACTAGAATCTACCAGTTTGGGACCAGCTTGCCGGGACAACACAGCCAATAGAGTCAGACTGTGTCTCTGAAAGAAAAAAAAGGCAAGGAAGAAAGTCACAGGTCAGACTCACAGACGGACAGGCACATCTATGCACACTTCCTGTCAAGGATTCCAGACCCAGCAACTCATTCCCAGATGCGTCCCGGACTCCCAGAGCCTCAAGTCCAAATCAGCCTCTTTTCTTTCTAACCCTCCCAGCCAGAAGAACTGTGTTACTAGCAATAGAACATGCAGCCTCTAACAAACAAGCGAGCAACAGAAGAAAGAAAATGCACCTCCTAAAACCTACCTCCTAGTGCCCTGGGGCTCCCCCTGGCCTGGCTAACCAACCCCTTGCCTCCTCCCTCACCTTCTTGGGGTCACCAAGGCCCCTTTCTGTTAGACCTCTCAGTGCATCTTCCCAGGCCCTAAACCTAATTCTGACTCTGAACCTAACCCTGATCTTAAGCCCAGTCCTGACCTTGATCCCACCCTGACCCTGACCCTGACCCCTCCCCCTTTAGGTTTACCTTTGCCCTAAGAGGAAGAGTAACCACGAACTTTCCTGGGCCCCTGCTCAGGGTCTCACCTACTCTCTCTCTATATTTTTTTTTATTTTTTAAAAACATTTATTTATTTATTTATTGTGTGTGTGTGTTTGTGTGACCAGCTCAGCCCACCAGGGGGCGGGGCTGGCTGGAATGTGGTGCTGGGGGATGGAACCGCGGTCCCTGTGCTTTCCCAAGCTTGTTCCAAGTAGGTGCTTTAGACCACTGAGCCATCTCACCAGCCCCTCACCTACTCTATATTTACACACTGTCTGTTTTGTGCTGTGGCTGTTGACTGTTTATGCAGCCCTATGATGGCAGGACTTGGTCACTACTGTCCCAGGTGGCAGGCATGTGGTGGGTCTCTGCGAAGCTCTGGGACTTCCCAATTCCCTGGCCGGCTGCCTGCATGTCTGCTCCTTTCCCCAGGGTTCATTCCCTGGCCTGTGACGTGTTTGTCACCAGTGACTGTCTGATGGGATTGGCAGGACAGGCCGGGGCAGATCTGTGAGTGCCAGGGCTGGTGGCAGCGGTGCCTGCAACCAGGGCTTCTAGAGGGTTTGAGTCGCAGTCCCTACACAGCCACACCAGCCAGGTCCTGGTCCTGTGTCTCCTGTTGGGCAGGGTGCTCGGCCCCCACCCCAGAATAAGGCCCTCAGCCAGACCTCGGGAGGAAGCAGGGGGTCTGGGGGTCCAAGGTGGCATCAGCACTCAGGGTTCTATGGGCCTTGCTCTAGGTCCCCTGAGGAAGCGGGGACCCCAAGACCCCAGTTATGCTTCATCCCGCTGAGAGGGGGCGCTCTAGCTGCTCCAGGGCTCTACCCTGTCTTTTCCGGTTTGTCCTCCTTCCTCAGAGCCCCTCACTACAGGTGGCCCGCTGGGTGCTGGCTGCACAGTATCTCAGCCTAGGGACTCGTGTGTCAGCTGAGGAGGGGAGTCCTGGGTGTGCCTCGTGGGGAGACAGCCACCGGATGCCACGCACTCCTACCCGAGTCCACAGCCCAAGAAACCAAAGGCAGCCCTGGCCCTGGCCCTCTGCCAGGGGCCCTCCCAGCGCTGGGGACCCGCCGGCTCCTGGGCAGAGGCCTCTCCCTGCTTGCCAGGTGGCCCTGCTCTCAGGGCTCCGTCAGCCCCGATGGTGTGGCACCTTCTGGGGATCAGGCCTGCTTCCCCGAAGGTCTGGTCCCAGGCCCCTCCTTTCCTCAGTTTAGGCTTGGAGGTCACGGTCACCAGGCTGGATGGGTGTCCCTCACCGCGGCCCGTGCCAGCCATGCCATGTTGGTCGTAGGCCCGTGCGGAATGAATGAATGAACAACCCGCTCGAGCTGGGGACTCGGCCTCCTTCAGTCCCCAGGGGGCTCGGTGGGGTCGGTCCCTCCCCGCCCCGCCCCGCCCCTCGCCCACCCCTCCCCCGCCCGAGACGCAGGACTGGGGGCGCCGGGCGCAGGGGCGGGGGGTGGCGCCGACGCTGAGTGGCGGCTGCGGGTCCAGCCCCGGCGGCGCGCGGGGAGCGGGGGAGGGAGCAGGGAGGGAGCAGGGGAGGAGGGAGCAGGGGAGGAGGGAGCGAGGGAGGAGGGAGCAGGGGAGGAGGGAGCGAGGGAGGAGGGAGCAGGGGAGGAGGGAGCAGGGGAGGAGGGAGCGAGGGAGGCGGGGTGCGCAGGGCGGCGGCGCAGCAGCAAGCGTGTGCCGCGCGGCCCAGTAACTAGGGACGACCGCGCGGGCCGCGCACCCCGGCCTCCCCGA